TGATTGATTTCTGTAATGATTTTCAGTATCCGCCTGTGCCATCATAGCAGGTTTGCGATGGAGGCTCCCAAGGTGGTGTTAAATTATGATGAACTTCCGAGCACTAGAGAATCTTATCGATCTTGTTCATTTGCGCTGTAATATACTCAATTCAAGTGCTATCGCTACCGCGAATGATTGGCATTGATAAAAAAAAGGTAAACAGAATTTTCGAGCACAATCAGTGTTGATAAGAAATAACTGAATTGACGGTGGCTGCAAATCGAATTCAATTTTGCCTCCTCCAATTTTTTTGTACGTACAATTGTGATATGATATGTAATGTAATCTAAGTAATCGAAAAGCATTGTAATAAGCTCAAAGCAATGAGAAAGATGAAGTTTTCTGATTGTAAAAGAAAAATGTGCAAAAACCGCGTATCAACTTCACTTTTTTTCTGACTGACGTGCCATGATGGTTTTCCACATCTTGCCTTTCACTGTTTTCCATATGTATGTACCTACATGTGGTGAATTCCAGTTCCGCTCGATACAATCTCCTTTAATATGAAAATTGACAGACGCCTTCTTGATTGGTTGGCTCGACAATATAATATATTTGAAACGAAGGCCATACATACGTAATATGAGCAATTGTAGACGGTGCTGCCCCTCGGCTGTTCTTTCGAGGGGCTTCGTTAAGAGAAAGGTAGATCGAAATAAAAACACTTTTCAGGCTTCTAACTAGCTGCACTACAGCACTAGGGCTGCTTCGGGTACGACATGGCACATTCCTTTTGGCTATCGGGGTACAATGCGAGTCAGCAGCATAAAAAAGAAGTACAACAAGTTCCTACATAGCACATGCACGGGACACACCATCCTAGCAGGCGTAGACACCAGTGTTAATATGAAATCTATAAAAAAGAAAACATCCCCTGGCCTAGCATGTTCCAATCGAGGTAGGCCATATGTGGTAGTATACTATGTTCCGTAACCAACGACCGGCTGACGTCGACGCAAGTGGGGATTGAATAGTAATAGCAATAGCCAACCCCCGGAGAAGACTTCTGGCAATGCTCGGGAGACCGACCCATAGACACGTGGGCTACGGAACAGAACGGATTAAATATAGCATAAATTGTCCCCATTCTTAAGTAGCTTTTACCCGACATAGCAGCACACAAACCATGACCTGCTATACTGGTAAAGTGACTTGTTGTTTTTGTTGCTATTGTGACAGTTTTCATAAAAATCTGCTTATGGGTGACTCCTAGAAGCACCTTTGCCTCAACAGGTTACATAACACATGGCAAAATGAGTTGTCTTCCGTTTCGTAAAAACAATAGACGGGTACCAAGGGGAAAGCCGAAAGGAAAACAGAATGGAAAATTAAATATTCATACTACCTGAGTGCGTGCTGAAAGGACGAGACCGTGCAGGCGGGGATGTAGTAAGTGGTTTAACGGAATGGAACTAGGTGACTCCGTATGGGATGTTAAACTTCGTATCATTGGCCAGGTGTAATGGATTCAATTATGATAAATAATTTGTTATTTAACTCTCAAGACACTGGCAGGTTAAGACACATGTCATAAAATCCGTTGGTTTTTCGGCAAGTGAGATGTGGATACCAGAAACGTAGTAGTTGCGGTTTGACTTTTGATGTATCCAAAGTGTAATGAGAGAAAGAAGGATTAGTATTTTCCATTTAATTCCACTACTTTATTTGCTTATCCTTGACAGATACGCGTATTTCGTCTACAATGTGCAGACTTCTTCAGTGTCTTGTACTAATAGTCGAGTATTAGTACAAGACACTAAAGAAGTCTGCACATTGTAGACGAAATACGCGTATCTGTCAAGGATAAGCAAATAGAGTAGTGGAATTAAATGGAAAATACTAATCCTTCTCTCTCCCATTAAACAGGTATTCCACTAAGACGCCCACATTCATTAGGATTTATCCAAAGTATTTGTAGCAAACTTGCTTAAAATAATTAAGTGCTGAGCTGAGTACCTCCAGTGATACAAAGGGCCAACGTGAAGGACTTCCATCCTGCTTTTGCGTTAACCTGATCGATATCGACTTGACCATATCGACTTGTTTATTTTTTTTGTTAAGGATCCGCCGTCATGAGCCCCTGGGACTGGCTCTGCTGCGATGTTCTGCCGTATTCCATCCATCGCACTTTGGGCAAAAATGAGTCCAAAATTACCCAAAATTCAATATCTCAACAGCAAGCTGAATTCCGGCCATGAAAAACGACTTTGGACCCATAGTGCATCGCTTGATTGCAGATTTAATTCCGTTTCGTAATTGTAGCAAAACAGGGATAATAATGAAAAGTTATCTTGGGTCAAACTATTATTTTTTATTCTGATCAATCGGTTCTGATAATTAAAGGATTAATTGAAGTGTACACCAACTGCTTAAACGGCTTAGGTTTTGTTCAATGTTGATGAAAATTTGAATAATTTTACAATAAAATTGATAGAGATTTTTTTAATAGCACCGGTTGTGTAGTGGTAAGCGTGACTGCGGCGCCATTGGGATTTTCTGAGGCATGAACTCTCTGATCACGCCTTCCTTCCCCGATGGTCCCATGCACTCATGGACCAGTTGATCGGTCGATAGGAAGGAACCAGGTGTGGGAACCGCCTTCCTGGCGTCGGTAGCATTGTTGTTTTTTTTTTTTTAATTTTTGTTTATAAAAATGCTCATGAAAAATGCAAATTTTTGTAATGGCCACTTAAAAATTAAAAAAAAAATCGTATCACAAGAACTTCTGTTAAAATGTTTGAACATAAACTGTTAATTCCTTAAACTCGATATGCCACATGGAAGATTCCGGTCTTTTGGCCATTTGATCCAAGGGCGTCCACGGTAATACTGGTGCAGTGTGTTTGCAGTTTGCACAAATAGATCAATAGGTCGCAGTGGAAAATGTACCCAACCCGGAAAATTCCTAGACCGAACCGGGAATCGAACCCAGTCGCCTCCAGCACAGTCATAACCTCAAGAAGAAATTCACTGTTGGGTCATCTTTTCATCCTTTGAAGAAATTGATTAATCCTGATCTTCGGCCACTTATCCCAACAGATAATGAAAAGACATACACACCCGACCGCTTGAGATTTACAGCTGCTCAAGCATGAAAACCGACCAATTTGGTACATGCGGTATCAAGAGTTTCAAAGCTGTTCAATGGAGAAGAAAATTGACACGACACAACTCACACCCAAACAGCTCCCCTGTCTCCGTCGAGGAAAAACTCCGATGACAAGTCGTTCAGGGAGAATAAATGTTAAAAATATGAAAAGCGGGGAAAAGCAAAGCCTAAATCCTCCGCGTTGGTTTGGTTGGCACCAAAATGAAACGAAACGGAACAGAAACCACATATGTGAAAAGGCAGCCATGTTACCCAACCGTGTCCGGGCCACGTGAATCCAGGCTTAGTGGATTTTGTTTGCGCTTTCAGACATGAAGAAAAATGCTTTTCATAAATCCTGATACGAAACACAGCAGGCTCTGCGTGGTTGCTTTTCACAGACATCCAGAATCATGGTTGCTGCGATCCGCAAAACGGCGCATTCCAGTGACAGAACTTTTGCGGAAAGTGCCAAAGCCAACTATGATTCGTGAATACAAAAGTGTTATGAAAATTGTATTTCAAACATGACAAGTGATTTCGACAAAACTAATTTCACTGAAGTTGACACATACGATGAGAAAACATGTGAGTGAGGCTAGAAATGGAGGAAAAATGCGGCAATAATACTAGCAAACATGCCATGGGGTGAAGAGGAAAATGTGACACTAAGCATAATCACCATATAATGCTACTCGTTCGAGCATCCCGCTCGAAATATCCTTACTCTTGGCACCAAGGGAAGGGCGTTCAGTCATCAGGAGCCAAGTAAAAAAAAATCGAAACCCACAGACAGGCTCATATTTGCTCTTTTAGCAGACCGCACATTACTGAAATTCCTTTTGCTATTAGTCTTATCTTTCATCCTTTGGTTCCATTCGAGCGTGAACGTTACTCGAATGATAAATATGTTAACGACTAAAGGTAGGGACTTGTGTAATACCGAATCCTTCGTTAATTTTGGAAGAGAATATTCGGAATCATTTTGAAACTTTTTCCGGTAAAAAGCTGCTCATTTACCAAGCATGGTAAGATAAATTGCCCGTGTACAGTTATTAATTCCCGGCACACAAACAACAATTTACTGGGCCGAAATTCAACGGTGACGACACATGCGGTGGCAGCACTCTGTCAAAGTAGGCCGGGGATTAGATAAATTGGCCCAATAAATATCAATTTCCTTGGCAGTCTTAGTTATTCTGGTTCACCATGTCGTGGAGGGTGGGTTCGTTCGTATTTGATGTGTTATGCTACGGTTTTACTGTGTGTTTTCCCAGGGGCATTGATCGTGCAGAAGACGACGTAAAAAATGGCTCCCTTTAACGACAGTAAATCGCAATTCCCAGAATGGGAAATGCGGAAATGGATTAGATTATTGGGCGGCAGGACTGACCACTGACCGGTTGGATCGTTTCTTTTTCATGCTATCATGGAGACGCACGGTGATTTATTAGCTTCCTCATTGAATCCCTTCAAATTCAAACAACGGACACTCAACAATGGTCCATGGACCAGCCATGATGACACGGAGAAATCGATGGAAGCGACAGCGAGATAATCTATTATTAATTCACGGCGCACGGACAAAGAATCGTCTCCGCTGTCACAGAAAAATTCGCAATATACAACCTGAGCAGGCGACGGGGCGATTCGTTTTGCCATTTTTTTTCTATCTTCCTTGAAAAGCTCGGTACAGTAGGCAAAGATTTCCTCCGGTGTCACTTTCAGCGAGGATAAATAATTCATTCCGCGAGCGGAGTGCACACAGTCAACCGTGTCTGTCTTCTAAATATAAGGCAAACATTGACGAAGGAAGGAAAAATGTTTAATATAAATATTTCTCTCTTCTCTTTCTTCTTTTCCAAACTAGGGGATTCGGCAAGCAAGGCTTTCAATGTCAAGGTAAGTGCTCGTACTAACCGCTCCACAGGTTGGCGGTGTTTGCAGTAGGCGGTGGAATAAAATGGGCGACGCTAGGTAAGGATAATCAGCGAGAAAATATCGGAATTATTAATAGACTACCAATCGACGGAACAGTTCCGAGACCCCTTACCTTCTCTTTTCAAACTCTCTGACACTTGTCGCTCATGGCTTGCTGTGGTTGGTGGTATTCTATAAGCTCCCCTTGTGTTGGCTTTTAATAGAAAGCTCGGACGTGTGTGCACGCTTCGTCATCATAGCAGTAGAGGCGAGCGTGGAATGCTTGTAGTAGGGCTTAGAATGCCGTGGGAAAAATACAGAGGATGATCAAAAGGAATGCCCGTTCTTCTGTGTGCCCGGTTTTCACCGATTATAGATTGCTCATTACGACGAAGGACGACGGGTGGTGGAATCTTGTAGATACGACGATAAAAGAGTGAGGGTATGCGAAGCGTTTGGTTAGTAAACAAGCATTTATGACAGCTTTCGAATGATTGATATCACGAGTTCGTTTGATTTGATTGAGATAAGTTTTTAAATTTTCCAACGAAATATTTTACGGTCTGCCAATTTAGTAAAATTGGCGACTGTGAAGTAGAGATTATTTAGAAAAGCCATGAACATCCTGGATCGTTCTGGGATTTTTAGATAGTCATAGAGCCATGCAGTTTCGTCTGCGACTATTGAAGCTTCCTAATCCTTCGCAGAAGAACGAGAAGTTCCTAATTTCAGAGAGTGGCTCGTTTGAAGATCTCAGAATGCCGGAATTTTTGGAATTCTCGAGAATCATAAGAGTTGCTAGTATTTCAGTAGGTGTTACAGTTTTTAAAGTCTTTGCAGTCTTGTACTCAAAGGGTGCCAGAATATTTTTCATAAGTCAGAATATCTTGAAGTTCTCGAGGGTTACTGGAGTTCAACAAGAATAGAATTTTGAGAGTTCTCGAGGCTTTGAATATTCTTTTCAGTGTTGGGAAATTATCAAAAAATCAAATTTCACCAACGCCCAAGACCACGCTTGATTTTCGTAGACAAAAATCAACAAGCAAACTACTGCTGTTGATTTTGCAAGCTGTGATATTGCAGCTCAGAATATCAAGCTAACAAATCTCTTCAACTGCAAATTTCATCAAACTGTGGTGAGATTAAGTTTAATGATTTTTGCTTTACACCCGAATGCAACCGAAACTTCCATAACGGCTTGCAGCAGTCCCTTCGCGTCTGCCATCGGTGAAGATTAAAAAGAGATAGCAAACTATGCTTTCTCTTTCTAAGAAAACGATGTGCAATAGAATCATGTTTGTGTCGAGTCAGCTCTCAGCTTGATGTTTGCACGTTGTGAATAGTCTCGCAATATCAAAGGAGCTTGTAAAATCAATATCAAGCATGATATTTTGTTCCAATATCACGCGTGATATTGCGAGCTCATGAGAGCGGAAAAATATCAATTGATTTCTGATTTTGCCAACACTGATTCTTTTAGTAGTTCAAGTTTTGTCACTATTCAATTATCGCTAATTCTAGAAGATCCCCGGAAGTTTCAATGGTTACTAGAGGTTCAGGATTTCTGGGAGTCTCCACAGTTGAAGTTACCGCAGTACCAACAGTACCGGTTTTTCGGAGCTGCGGAAGTTTGGAGAGCTCATGAAATTTCAACTTAAATTGTAATTCCCATAACTCTCGATGTGATAGAAATTCTGGAGACATTAGTTCTCCACTTATCTGGGCATAGATTTTCATAGTGCTAGCCACCAAGGTTGAATAATGAAATCATATAATACTAGGATCACATGATTTACTTGTTAGATACAAGAAGAGGTTGCAAATTATACGTTTTGCGCGGCTTTTGAGGTGAGGTGACTCGCTGTCACTAGTGAAGTGACAATTTTCACATCGGGAGGAGGGGACCCTCCACTTGATTTGCACGGAGACTCACCTCACCCGAGGTGACAATTGTCACTTCACCATCACTTCACTGTCACCTCACCTCGCACACTGTGCAGAATGGGCCTAGCAACCTGTCAATTTCGGTTTCGGAGAGTCACAATCTGTGATTTTATAATCGCTGACTGAGAGAGTGAATAATGATAAAATCGCTGATTGCGACTATCATGAATTGCAGTTGACAGGTTTTATGTGGCAAGTACTTACTTTTCAATTTCTTCTTGTAACACACAATTTAAACGTTTAATCATATTATCAAATTCCGATACACATAATTCCGATACACATTTTTTTTCTATGTAAGATGAGTGTTTGCAACTTGGCTTGCCATACAGTATTCAAATTCATGCATTGGTTAGCATAGAAAGCTCTCAATGAATAACTTTGAAAGTACCTCAAGATATTCTTAGAATTCAGGTAGCATTTGAAGAGTTTGAAAATTGCTTGTAGTTCCAGAAGTATCAAGAGTACCTGTACATTCCAAGAGCTCCCTGAAACTCCAGGACTGTTAGGATATTCAGTAACTCCTAAAATGGCGCAAATACTTGCAGAACTCCAAGAAGTTCGAACAGATAAAGCTGCATGTCGGTATTTTGTAAGATTTTGGAACTTTGTAATTTAAAAATACTCCTGAAGCTACGGAAAATCCAAAAACATCAAGAGCTGCTTACATTGGAATATTGAAAACTCCCACACTAATAAAATTCCACACATTTTTATTGACGAATTTCCATGTGACCACACATAAACATAATCCACCCAGAAGCACACATTAAATTTATGAGTCAAATGTCAATCTGTGATTTTATAATCGCTGAGTGAATAATGATAAAATCGCTGATTACGACTATCATGAATTGAAGTTTACAGGTTTTATATGTCAAGTACTTACTTTGCAATTTCTTCTTGTAACACACAATTAAAACATTTAATCATATTATCAAATAGTTTCATAATTCCGATACACATTTTCTTTCTATGTGAGATGAGTGGTTGCAACTTGGCTTGCCATACAGTATTCAAATTCATGCATTGGTTGGCATAGAAAGCTCTCAATGAATAACTTTGAAAGTACCAGTAAGTTGAGAGCCGGTAAAACCTTCGCAAAATAATTGTTAAGAAGGCTTATATTCTAAGAATTTAGGTAGCATTTAAAGAGTTTAAGAAATATCAAGAGTACCTGTACATTCCAAGAACTCCCTGGTTGCTTCAGGAATTTTAGGATATTCAGTAGCTCCTAAAATGGCGCAAATACTTGCAGAACTCCAAGAAGTTCGAACAGGTAAAGCTGCATGTAAGATTTTGGAACTTTGTAATTTGGAAATACACTGGAACCTCCATTTACGAACCAAAACGGGGGTTCGTAAATCGAATTAGTGCGTAAAAAAAACCTCGTTATTTGGGATTTACTTCGTAAGAAGAACACTCGTTATTTGGGATTTACTTCGTAAAAAGAGGTTTTTTAAAATATTGTCAAATACCCCACAATATGGGTATTTTTGGAATCAGGGTGACGTGTATGGACCGGAAATCGATATCTGACGTCATTTTGAAATCCAATATGGCGGCTTCCAGTTACAGAAAAACTTCAAAATTCTGTCATATACCACACAATATGGGTATTTTTGGAATCGGAGTAACGTGTAGGGACCGGAAATCGATGTCTGACACCATTTGTAAATCCAAGATGGCGGCTTCCGGGTACAGGAAAACATGGAAATTCTGTCAAATACCCCACAATATGGGTATTTTTGGAATCGGAGTGACGTGTAGGGACCGGAAATCGATGTCTGACACCATTTTTAAATCCAAGATGGCGGCTTTCGGTAACAGAAAAAATTGGAAATTCTGTCAAATACCCCACAATATGCGTATTTTTGGAATCGGAGTGACCTTTTTGGTTTGTTTTTTTTTTTTCCGTCGATCTTGTTTTCCATGCTGAGCACCAATGCCACCGACGTGCCAGGAAGGCAGCTCCCACACCTGGACCCTACCTATCGACCCATCAACTCATGAACCGGGGAACAACGGCTTTACTTCCCATCCGAAGGAAGGCGTGATCAGAGATGTTATGCCTCAGAACATCCCGGCGGCGCCGACTGGGATTGAACCCAGGCCTGCTGGGGTGAGAGGTAATCACGCTACCACTACACCACCGGCGCCGTTAGAATCGGAGTGACGTGGAAGGACCGGAAATCGATGTGTGGCACCATTTTTATATCCAAGATGGTGGCTTCCGGTAACAGAAAAACTTCAAAATTCTGTCAAATACCCCACAATATGGGTATTTTTGGAATCGGGGTGACCTGTGAGAACCGAGAATCCATGTCTGACACCATTTCGAAATCCAAGATGGTGACATCCGGTTACAGAAACAGTGGGAAATACTGTCAAATACTCAACAGCATTGGTTGTTTGGAATCGGAGTGAATGAAATTCAATATCGCAACTTCCGGTTACATAAAAACATAAAAGTAATATTACTTAACCTACAATATGGGTATCTTAAGAATCGGGGTGACGTGGTGGTATTTGCCATTTTTTCTGTAACCGGAAGCCGCAATCTTGGATTTTGAAATGACTTCAGATATCGATTTCCGGTTCTTAGACGTCACTCCATTTCCAAAAATACCCATATTGTGGGGTGTATGGCAGAATTTCCAAGCTTTTCTGTTACCGGAAGCCGCCATATTGGATTTAAAAATGGCGTCAGACATCGATTTCCGGTCCCTAAACGTTACTACGATTTCAAAAATACCCATATTGTGGGGGTATTTGGCAGAATTTCCATGTTTTATGTATCCGGAAGTTGCCATCTAGGATTTCAAAATGGCGTCAGACATTGATTTCCGGTCCCTACACATCACTCCGATTCCAAAAATACCCATATTGTGGGGTATTTGGCAGAATTTCCTTGTTTTTATGTAACCGGAAGTTGCATCTAGGATTTCAAAATGGCGTCAGACATTGATTTTCGGTCCCTACACGTCACTCCGATTCCAGCAATACCCATATTGTGAGGTATTTCACAGTATATCCCAGTATCCCAAAATCACAAAAAAAAACTCGTTATTTGGAATTTACTTCGTAAAAAGAAAACTCGTTATTTGGGATTTACTTCGTAAAAAGGGGGACGTAAATTGAATTCTGCGTAAAAAAGACTTCGTAAACGGAGGTTTCAGTGTACTCCTGGAGCTACAGACAATCCAAAAACATCAAGAGCTTCTTACATTGGAATATTGAAAACTCCCACACTAATAAAATTCCACACATTTTTATTGACGAATTTCCATGTGAAATTCCACACGATTTTCATGTGACCACACATAAACATCCACTCAGAAGCACACATGAAATTTATGAGTCAAATGAATAGTATGTGTGGTTACACATGGCTTTTATGTGTACACATATTAAGTATGTGTCCGACACATAGATATCATTTGTTGATCACATTGCAAAAATTCATGGGACACATAAAAATAATCTTTGAAATTTTATCAGTGCAGTATCCTAGAAAAAAATAAAAATTCTTGAATCATCAGATTCTCCTGGAGCTTATGTAAAGCTTTGAAATTATCGAAACTTCATCACTTTCTGAGTTTTTGAGGTTTCTGGTTTTCTTAGATTTTCTGAATTTTCTTTCAATGTTGGGAGTTTTGGAAGTTCTTGCAGCTTCAAAAGTTGTCAAAGTTTCAAGAGTTCATGTAGTTTCAAAAGTATCAAAACTGTATCAACACCTCAAGTATCCGAGTTTCAAAGTTTACTGGAATTTGAAAATATCTCGCACTTCCCCTGAGATCTGTTGGTGTTTCCGTAGTTTTTAAAGTTTAGAGAGTTCTCGGAGTTTTTGCAGGTCGAGTTTTGAACGCCTTTGGATACGGTTGTATCTAAATTTGCTCTCTGTTTTGTGCGTGCATTCTCTTTCATAGTTTTCGGCTGCATTTGCCGGATTAGCGCTGGCACTCTGCCTCCCGGACGGTTATACGTGTGTGAGTGGTGGTTTTCTCGCTTTCCGAGAAGTTTTAGAATCAAGAAAGAAAACATGATTCATCATGTTTGCAAAATTGAAAGCATCAGAAGATTAGGCGCTGCGTGGTTTTATTGTTTTTCCCGGACCAAAAATTTGTGGCATCGCGAGTGAAAATTTTAATTTCTTTTTATTTACGCGGTGATGAGCACGGCGCTGATCTATTGTTAGGGTTTTGCGATGTGCATTGCTTTTGTGCACGGAGTGTCTTGAAAAAGAAAAGTGAAGAAAAGTGATATTTGGTTGTTGTGTGGTTGGAGTGGAGAGAAAAATATGCGTGGAAGCATCGGGAATGCGCTCCCGGGTGAAGTGATTTGATGAGCACGTTCCAGTTGAAGATTGTTGACAAGTGTATTTGTGGTGATGCAAATTATGGTTTAGATGACGCATGGCTTCAAACATTTTGTGTATCCAAATAAAACATATTACATACTAAATACGCACAGGGCATCGTCTGCTGACCATTGCCGCGGGTATATCGTGGGAGTCCCAGGTACCCGGTTCAAGCTTTAGTTGGCGGCGGTGGCTCTTCTTGACCTTCTATCCCCTGAGTAGTTAGTGTGAATAAGGGCGTCTATGTGATGTTTTGCTGTACCTGTTGTGGACATCTAGTGCACCCTGTTCCCTTAACTTGTTGAGGACACCCTGTCTTGCCTCAAAAGTTACCCTTTTTGAAGTACTAGTCTTCACAACATAAAGGGCACCATTACGGAGCATGAGATTTGATCAAATTATTCGCAGTTCTACTTGTCCAACGCCCCCGGCTGGGTGAGGGATAGAGGATGACACACACACACACAGAGAGTTCTCGGAGTTTTTGCACTTTCAACAGAGTTTTGTGAGCATTAAGAATTATCGGCGTTTCTCGAAATTTTTATGAATTCTTTAAGATTTGGAAATTTTTGGAGCACTTTGAATTCCGAGAGCTGCAGAAGTATTAGGACGTTCTAATGGCATAAGTTATAGGCTACATAAGTTATAGGCTTACATTCTATGTATGTTTTCTGACAACAAATTTAATGACAGTTCTTACAATGGACGTAGCGTGCAGGCAAGTGTTTCCAGAATAAAAATTATCGTATAAAACCTTCACGGGATGATTTTCTAGAAGATGCTGTGTCATTAGACCGAAGGTCGAACAGCAATTGGGGTGAATTTAGGAAAATTATTGCTTAACAGAGAACATTTGCTGGTCTTAAAAAGAGAATTACCAGCATATAATAGAAGCAGCAAGAAGAAGAGAAGAACAGAAAAAAAACTGTTATAGAAATTCTGAGTCAAATAAAACTATCAGCCAAATGTTTTGGTGTGACAAGTGAATGATAAGCTTTTAAAAGAAGGACAAATAATGTGATTGTATATTTTGTTCATGGTGCCAAAAATTACGGTAAAAGCAATACTCGAAAGAACTTCTCGTGTTTAAATAAGGTAAAATCCCTAAAAATGTTATACTAAACAGTCAAATCTTCATATCTCGATGTATGAACAAATACTTTAAAACACTGCTGTTTAATTGTTTCCTGAACTTGAATCCTTAAAACCCGGAAAAACCAAATATCGCAGTCCGAAATCTCTCAAAAAGTCCGGAAAGTCCGAAAATCTTAAAAATATAACTGTGTAAGGGAGCGAAATCATTCGGCCTGATGATCATTCGGCTTTATGGCCGGACACCTTCTAGACCAGTGGTGCTTAGCTGAAGGCATATGATGGGCCACATTGCAAGTTTCAACGTAAAGTCCAGGCCACACCCATCACCGTAGTAAGAGGATGGCGAAAAACGCCAAAGGAGACAGTTCAATTTACCGACATCAATAACAATTTTATTTTAAAGATCTTGAAAAAAAAAAAATAGATCACGAATCATAAAACTATTGTTTCTATAAAACTGTAACAGATTTTATGAGCTCTAAAATTAAGATAATATTTTGAAGTTGGATATCGTGAAAAATTTCCAAGGCTTCATTAAGACTTAAAAATTTTTTTGAGCTACAGAATCATGCAAATATCTGAAGGCTGCTATGCTGAACACCATTGAGTTGAATTTTGGAAAGTGAAATATTGTAGTAACACATTCTTTTAAAAACCTTTAGCTTCAGGAAAATACTTGAGCAAGTTATAAGTAGAACTACACGGCATTTGTGAAGAGAATTCTAAGGAAATTGTAAGGAAATGTCCAGGTAAATTTAAAAGAATCTCTTAGAAGAATTCCAAGAGAATTCAGGGGATTATTCAAAAAAATATCCAAAACTCCACAGCTCCAAATAAATTCTGAAAAGAGTTCCAAAGCAATGCTGACAAGTACTTCTTAATTTCAAAAGAATTGTGATAAGAATTCGAAAGGAATCTGTATCTGAAGTTGATTCGATTCCAAAGGAATTTTAAGGAGAATTTAATATTTTCGGTTTCAAGAAAGGCTAATTAGCAGTAGTTTTGAGTTAAATTCCATGGAAGTTAAACTCACATCATCTGAAGATAGTGTATGCAAGTTTTAAGGAGAATTCAACATAATTAAAGAAGAAGTTCCAGAATGAGTTCCAAAGAACTCTGCTATGAAATCCAAGGGAATCTTAATTTGATACGAGTTTCATACATTCCACAGACTGAAAGCATTCTGCGAGCCGAAAAACTCACTCGGTGGGCCGCATGTGGCCCGCGGGTCATTGGATGAACACCACTAGAATCTAGACATTTGGCATTTGAGGAAGCAAACTTTGTTCGAAAATTAAGCTACCATAAAACAAAAGGGCGACTCCGGCGTAGTGGTTAGCATCCATACCTCTCACCCCCGGACAAGTCCCGAATGACCCAAGAGCGTTAAAGTGACTATAATTAAAAAAAAAGCTTCCATAAAAACTACAAAATTATATTACAAAGAACCTTCATTAAAGAAACTTGCGAAATATTTCAAATTCTGCATACTTTTCATGCAAATCTGTAATAGAATCTTACATTTCCCGGTTGGGTGTACGCGCTAACACTGCACTTGCGATGCAAAAACATACCTTCAATAATGGCAGTAAATTTTTTAATGTTTTTGAATAATATACAAAAAATACTCATGGCCATAGTTTATCAAATGTATCTGCTGATGGATGACAATCCTTTTTTTAAACAAATCACAGTCCGATTTTCTTTTTAAGAGAACTGTGTGATCGTGCTCACACTTTGCCTATCGTTTACGTTTGATTTTTAGAAACGAAAAAAAAAGAAACTCATCCGTCGCCCACCGCCTACTGCTCTCCTGACGTGATACTTGAGTTTCCACAGGCAACGAAACAACGCACGACGTACCCGCCTACTTGCGTCCAACTGATTTTCCTCCAAGAACAACGTGGCAGCCTCCAATCGAACCGTTTTGTACTGAATTAATTTTCCTTTCTATTTTTCGCTTCCAGTTTGCTCCTTCGTCGTCCACAAACGATGCCACGAGTACGTGACCTTCAAGTGTCCGGGTGCGGATAAGGGAGCAGATTCAGATGTAAGTTGGCTTTGTTTTCTCCATTGTTACCTGTAGTTTGTAGAACAATTTATGTTAACTGAGCGACTCGTAACATTTTTGTTTTGAAGAATACGATTGGATACACAACCCACAAGACACAAACTGTTTTTGAAGGTGCTCAAAAGATTAATTAGGTTTTTCTCAGGAACAAACATTTAAGGGCAGCTACTAATCCAGGGATTAACAAAGGGACTCGGTTTCGCGCAACTTTCCTGTTTAGTTTTGCATTTTAACAGTTTTTGCGAAATGTTGAATTTTATATTCTCGCTGCTTTGATATTTGGTTTTGTAAAGAGCAAGCCGATCGAATGATCGACGATGATTAGAGAAAGCGTTTGCATGTTTTAATTACTGTTCCGTATAGATTAAACAAAAATGAAGAATCGAAAGAAAGTTACGTTGTTTTGTTTTTCAAGCGATAGCGAGTTGGTATTTTGCAGAAATTTTCCCGTTAAATCAGCATAAACTTTCTCATTTTGAACGGCTTTGAATGGTGTGCGTTGTTACTTTAACCTGCGGACATAGGGCAATTTATCTGCGGTCCGTTTTTCTTCGATATCTAGAATAGAATAGTGATAGCATTTTCTACATTTACATAGAGTGTACTGTCGTCTTGTACCTGCAAACGTACATGGATCAATCAACCAGAACAGAACAAGTTCATCTTAGCATCTTAGAATAGAACGTCATGACGCCATCCCGAAGACTGACAACATGTTTTCATTCTGAACAGTTTTTTTTTTCGTTGGTTAAATTTATAATTTTTTTTAATAAATTTTGATATCTGAAAAAACATGAGCGAGAATTTGAAGTTTCAACTCGAGGGGTAGTTAATTTAATCAGTTTCTAACACTCAGTATCTATTTAGTTAATTTAGAATAAACCATTTCACAGACAAATTAATTTACATATTATGTTATATGTATACCTGATGTGATTTAAGGACACTCGCACGAAACATGAGTTTAAAGAATCGACTTATTCAAGTCCTACGTTTTGCGATCATTGTGGTTCGTTACTGTACGGTTTACTTCACCAAGGGCTTAAGTGTACAGGTAATAATGGATTAATCACTATTTTCTTTTACTTATTATCTTTTCGTTTCTGTTCGTTGTGTTCTTTTCTATTTTCATCTGTTCTATAAACACCATAAATATCATGAAAACAATTAAACAAGCACACTAAATCTCTTAAAAACGGTATCTAAGCTAAACATCTCATATAAATACATCCAACTTTGAATCTATCGTGTTTTCTAATCCATTCTTATACGCTTATATCCATGTATATGTGTGTGTTTATTTTTACTAATCTACTAGGTGTGATTTGAACACTTCTTTCAGCTGCATTTTCACTGTTGTTTAAAATTCTCAAGATCACATGCCGCGAAGACAAGTTCGGTCTGTCTACTACCGATATCCAGCCAATGATTTAATCAATTTGGAATATTTTACAGTTTTCTCGCACTTTCACGCACCCATGCAACAACAAAATTTACAAAACGTCTCTGATAGCATGCCACAGACGGTGGAAGATTCGTAAATCACTCAACTAGTACGCCAGATAAACTCACACCGGTGGTGCCTGCTACCCGTGGGTGCTAATTATTTGCACAAAAATGCTTCATTCCAGCGGAATAGAGCAGCTCAGCAAGCTGTGACTTCATTCCTTCATTACACTAGAACACCATTCGAGTACACACTAAACAAAAACAACAATAATTCATGACATCACAGCCCCTTAGCCTTAAAGCGTAGCACTGCGCACGTGTTCATGAAAAATAATAATAGTAGGCCCTGCTTGATGCTCTCGCTTCCCTCGACATTGTATTCTTTCCTCGAGATCGTCCACCGAGAGCGTCGACGACAACAACGGCGACGAACGAGCGAACGGACTAATTTGGCTAACGATCTGTTAAAGCAGCTGTTAAGTGGTCGGGAATCGCGTAATAAGACGCTATACCCATCACAGAAGCTGGACTGCTTCGAACCGAACGGCGATGCCGAGCGGTAGCTATGTCATTTACTGCGGCGGCAGTGTGAAAATTGAATTGCCGCACTCGAAGCTCAGCAAAGTGGCACTTGCTACTGCCGGTGGAGCCTGGGGTAAACAGTTCGTTTAGCGCTTTCTATCCAATCGATGCACGGTAGTGCTAGAGGACGACAAGAGTAAAAGTATATCTGATTTTTGTTTTCTTGCACCGGCTGCTGAAGCGTGTGGAGGTAAAGTAATTTATGATGGCATTGCAAATTAAGCATCTGAGTTTTACGATTAACGTATGGATCGTTCGGTCTTAATGTGTGTATCGTTTTCGATGAAGATGGCTTCTAGAGCGGATCGTTAATGTCATCCGGGAATTGACACGGTAGACGACAAATTTAACGCCGCTTGGTCCAAACGGCCACGGTTGATTAACTGAGATAAGTTCATGGTTGAGTTTAAATTGTGGTACAAATTGGTTGAATTGACGCTTAAGTGGTCCGATGTTTACATCATTTTAAGACCTTAGAGTTTTTAATTCAATTTAAGGATATACATTTATGTCTTCTGGTGATGAAAATGTTCATTATGTTGATGATGTTGTAGTGCGTCAAGTATGAGACAGTGGTGGATTTTAATTGAACTGTCGTGACAACCTTTGCTCACTAAAATAATCCCACGAATTTTTATTGGAATTTTTTTATGATTACGCATGATATTTGAGATGAACTAGTATACGGCTAAAAATCTTAAAAATAAATTTGAAAAAAAAAAATGAAATTCACGAAGTCTTATACAACCAGATGCCGATCTAAAGGACCCATGAGCAGAAAGAGTGAAGTCTTTGTTAAAAGCCATTAGTCACGACTAAATCCATTTCGGATGTTGACCAGAACCAGGGAATCCAAGATGGAGAAGAGTGTGGTGCTTTTTGGAGCAAGTCCTACATCGGAACTTAGGGGGACAATCTCTTGCTAAGTGGTTCCGTCCTAAACAGTTGCTGCAGAGTCGTTTGGAGTTAGTAAATTGCAGACGTTTATCTACAGCAAGTTTCTTGAAAGCTGGGCAACGTGTGATGAAATGTTGTTCATTACAGAAAATACAGCTATGACCTGAAGTTTCGGTTGCCGAGTTGACCGAAACCTTTGCTGACCGAAATCTGGATCCGCCAAAGGAAACACTTGAAGTTGATGAACATTGATCCACCGAAACTGCATCCAGGACTCGTGTCTGTTTCTTGAGAAAGTCCACTAGTACAGAGAACGCCATTTCATCAACGCCTGAGGCATGTTTGTCTTATACAACCAGAAGCCACTCTAAAGGACCTATGAGTAGAAATATGATATTCACGAGGTCATATACAACCAGAAACCACTCTAAAAGACCCGTGAGTAGAAAGAGTGAAGTCTTTGTTAAAAGCCATTAGGCCGAATGGGTCATAAGGCCAAAATGCTTATAGTTAGTTGTTCACTTTTCATGATACGGCATCTATATAGTTCCAGATTAAGAAAATAATGAGCAGCTAATGAAGTAGCCGGAACTATGTTGAAATTTTGGGATCCTAATTTATTTATATTATAATGGGATCTAAAATAAAATTAAATACTGAATGTTTACAAGTCCCAAAATTTTCATTTTTACCATAAAGATTGCGATTTTGATATTTTTTGAAAAACTGCATAGTCTTCTCAAAATTTAAATTCAAGTAAACTAATGATGGTGACGACTTGAAGGCAATTGCTGGGTTTAACTGCTTTCTCAGTTTTAAGCTCTTCAACGACTACAATGTACTCTGCCCGACGTTTCGGCCATGGGTTGTAGCCTTTTTGAAGGGAAAATATTGTCTGACATTATCGTAGTTGTGATCGATTTTCCATTTTTGGGTTTCATTTAATGATATTTAAGGAAAACAACTACTTGGTCACAATTTTGATCACCACTGAGGATAAAGATAATTATCAGGTAGGGAGAGGATCAAGGAAAATGTACACAAAGATGCAATTGAAATATTTATCTCCACCGCCTTTGAATTGATGTTTTTCAACGATTGACCATGGGAGGTGCACTGCGGTGACAGGCAAGTGCCCTGGATCTTTCTTGAAAGGACTGACAGTTTATGGCAAAACTGATGAAACGCAAAAAAGAGTCTTGGGTTAGGACAACGATGAGAGTACAGACACTAAGATTCATACATGAACAGACAAAACAATACTACATTCTCAAACGTTAGTAATCGACAAATGGCCACGTAGACGCTAGTTGCTTCAAAGGAGATTTCAGCGATGGAATCATGGAGTCAGACACATTCAATAATTCGAGAATGCTATTCATATTCCAGAAAACATGAACATGGCTATATGTTGTCCTGGCTATGGAGCTGGAACATATGGATCCATGGAAGAATCTGGAAGGTGCGGAAAGTCCCTATCTTAATCAAATGATGATCCGGGGGGCTTTCGGAATATTACCGTTACTTCATGATTTCGTCAAGATGACTCGAGGGTCAATACAAAAGCCTGTACGAGGCTGTTGCATGGCATTCAGCCGGCCTATGAAAACGAAATGACTTCGCTGATCATCAACTGGGAGAAGGTCAAAAGGGTTGCTACACGGAGAAATTTAGGAAGTTGGAATATCAGGACGTAGGTTTTCCACAAAGGAACGCTGAGAGCGACTCTTCAAATACCAGTGGAGTTTTCTCTCGCTATGTGTTGCTTGAACAATCAGCGAAAGCATGCGGAATACCCAAACAATAAGGACATTTGGGGTGACACGACATGTATGCTTCTCCCTACACTAGTTGCCACAATAGTCTGCAGTGAGCCCTAGTTGTTTGCAATTTTTGTAGTTCATTACCAGTGGTTCAAGCGCATAGGTAGTTGGTAGTCACTCGAAACGATCCGACGAGGGACACTCAATGCTCAAAATTTTTCTTGAAGTTTGGGTTCTTGAGGACACCAACCCCGCCTTCAGGAAATCATCTCGAGTTATACTTGCTTCGGTGACAACTCTTTCGGCAACAAAGTGATTGAGAATGTACACTCGATACTCCACCGAAAAAAGCTCAAATGTAACAATCGCATGCAGTATATTTCCGTTGTAGAAAGTTGCAGCAACATTATTGTGACTGAAATAAGTTACATCGAAGTTTCCACAATTGCTATGCAACAAGTGTGATACTAGGGATCTGGACAGCCTGCACACGGTCACGGCGGAAACATGTTTTGAATGATCCTTCGAATCCTTTGAAAAGCGTTGGTGGCTGCCTAAAGCACTAACACTTGATCACTTTGTCGTTGTATTGAGCACTTTAACATGGTTTACTGTGATGAACTAACAGCAAAATTGGACCACCTTGCCCAAAAGGTCGATTGAAAATCCACTACTTAAATTTGACATGCTGAATCTTAAAATAAAATTCATTCAAAAACTCGGTTGACCTTCCCTTGCTAGACCGTAGAAATTTAATTGAAAAATAATGTATTAAATATTCCCAACACATAAATTTCGGAAACTTGTCCAGGAGCATCCTATTTTTTTATGCCCTAGAAATGAACCGAGCCGTAAACATCCAAGTGAAAGGATTTTTACGGGGAGAGTAGGAATACCAACTCCATGTTATTAGCATTTCGTGGATAAAGGGTGGGCTCTTCTCCCCGCTGCACAGTGGGAAAAAATTGACAAAACCGCGGCTAAATTGAATATCTCGGCTTCCAAACGGTTACAGTCAACATGTTATACATATTCTCAAAGGAAAAACTTTGTTGAATCGATTGGTGGTGGCCGGAGACTTTTGCGTACCGAGATAGAGGGCTGGGATCAACCCGAGTTCCCGGTAAAGTAGGAAATGCCACAATCTCTCGACATACTTTTACACTTTACCTAACGTATATTCCTGGACATTGATATTACTAAGTAAATATGGTGTAAAGACACCATATACGCCCTCATGGAAACTTTACTGGCCTGAAGGAGGATCCGGAACGACCGATAAAGTGGTTACATTATAAAAATTGTCCTAGAATCATGCGATTTTTTCTATGTTTGTTCAGAATCATGAGATCAAAGCGAGTTT